CCGAACACAACCACATATATTGTTTGACATCAGTTACGTTGCTGCTACTACGACGTGTTCTAGTGACTTTATTGGGCCGAGAGATACACGAGGAGAGCGAAGAGAGAGATCAGGAGTCTCGGCCCATAGTTGTTGTTCAACCCAAGGCGCACGTCGTTTGGTCTCTTAGTCCCATACGACTAAAGAGAGATACTTCTCCTAAGTATACCCTAGTTGCATTAGAGAATGAGTATAAATACTCTTGTACTTTGGCCATTGGTTGTACAGTTCATTGATAATAATCAATAAGAGAAAAGCTGAGGGTGCTAAACCCTCCATGGATTAGTCTCGATCATCAATCGATCGAGGATACCACGTAAATATCGTGTGCCTTGCTTGTATTTTTTTTTTTTACTATTTATCATGATATCAGAGTAGTGAGTTCCAGCTTTGTTGACAAGTTCGATTCGACGACGCCATGAGCAAGAACCATGACGAATCGTTGGATAGTAAAGCACCACAGACTGATGGTGGAGTTGGAAATGATCTCATGTCCGAATATCAACTCCATAACTCTAACAACCCGCGGAACATGCTTGTTGGAGAGGTTCTGACACCATCGAATTATGGAGAATGGGCACTCGACATGAGAGATGCCGTATTGGCGAAGAATAAATAAGGTTTCATTGACAGAAATGTTGAGAAGTTGGCTGATCCTGTTGAATGGCGGGCTTGGGTACGATTGGACGCCATGGTTAAAGGATGGTTGAAGACCTCTATGGATAAAGAAATCCAGAGTAGTATTCGATTTGCTGAAAGTGCTTGAGTGATATGGACGGATTTGAGCAAGAGATTTGTCCAAGGAGTGCTTTGTGAGCGTATGAGATGCGGCGCTTAATCATCACCTTGCAACAAAAAAAGAACTATGTGCTCGCCTTCTATACTAAGCTTAGAGCACTTTTCGGAAGAAGCATAAGCCATATCGCCGGTTCCGCGATTCACTAGTGGGTTGTGCACTTGTGGCGTTTCGTGCAAGGTACGAGAGTATCAAGAAAATTCCAAGTCGTTTGACTTTCTAATGGGCTTGGACGAACATTTTGCAGTTGTTCGTACTCAGGTGTTGGCCATGAAGCCAACCCCATCGCTACCCGAAGCTTTTAATATAGTTGGCAATGAGGAGCAGCAGAAGCTGACACAGTATCAGAGACTGAAGTTTGAGGCTGCAGCACGAGGGAGCGTGAAAAGCTTCGATGCACGCACTGTCAGAAAGTGGGTCACACTCGAGAGATGTGCTATGAATTAGTAGGCTACCCACCTCATGATCGTGATCAACAAGGGGATAAACGGTCGAAGCATCGTGGGAGCGATAACGAAATGGCATGGCGTGATCCAAAGGCCTCACAAGCAAAGGTACATCAAAGTCCGGTGGCTGAATTTATGGTTCAACAATTGGAACAACTGAATAAATTTTTTGCGGGCTCTCAATCAAGTGGGGAAGATCCTGTCACGAATATGTCATGTATGATTTCTGAAACTTCTGAGTGGTTGATTGATTCCGGCTGCAACAAGCATATTACTACGAATGACTCATTGTTGTCAAGGAAAGAAGTGAACATTGATGGGAAGTCGGTGCGTATTCCGAATGGGGAGAGAATTTCTGTTAAACACATTAGGCCTATTACTCTGCAATCTAGGTTGCAGCTTAGCCGAGTTTTACATGTTCCCGAGTTCCGGTGCAATCTGATTTATGTGAGTCGATTACTGAAGGATACCAATGTCGCATTAATCTTTCTTGATGGTTTATGTGTTATCCAAGACTTACACTCCAGAAAGTTGATTGAGAAGGGTGAACTCCGGGATGACATGTACTATCTCTGATTGTTTGGGAATGGAAGGATGAAGGGTTGCGCAGCTAGTGGAAATAGCTCCATTTCGGAATCGACATGGCATGCTAGATTGGGACACCCCTCATGAGAAGATGCAGCAGCTTAGCTGTACTCTATCTGTTATTTTTAGTTCAAACAAAGAGCTTTGCCACTCTTGTTCAAGGGCAAAGCAAACTCATTTGCCGTTTTTTAGTAGTTCGGTGAAAACAAAATTAGCGTTTGAACCTATTCATGTGGACATATGTGGTGGCTACAAAAAACATATTCATGTGGACATACGTGGTGTTTGGGTATATTTGATGCGTTATAAGTTCGAGGTTGGTCGTTATATTCAGTTTTTCTGCAACATGGTTCGGAAATAGTTTGGTATGTCGGTCAAACACATATAAGGGGACAATGGACTCGAGTTCAACACCGAGGTCCTTAAGGAGTACTATAAGACAGAGGGAATCCTTCTCCAGACTTCGTGCATTGGCACACCATAGTAAAATGGCATGGTGGAGAGGAAACATCGACATATTTTGGACACTACAAGAGCTCTGCGGTTTCAAGCAAACTTGCCCATTCGTTTTTGAGGTGAGTGTGTGCTCACTATAGTTTATCTCATCAACAAATTGCCGACAACGACCACTGGTAAACTCCCTTTGAGTTGATTTTTCATAAAGCCGCTAGTTAGAAGCACTTGCTTCTTTTTGGGTGTCTAACTTACTACAAAGATAATCATGGGCATCTCGATAAGTTTGTTGAACGCGGGCGCACTAGAGTGTTTATTTGGTATGTAGAGAATCAGAAAGACTACCGCATCTATGACCTCACGTTGAAGAAAGTAGTTACATCTCGCGATGTGGTTTTCCGTGAGCACACTTTCCCTTTCCAGTTTGGCGTTGGGAACCAGCTCCACTCGGTGTCGCATCCTATTTTGCAGGCTGACCACTTGGACGAAGATGAAGGGCACGATTTGATGCAACCTCTGCTCGAGTCTCCCTTACCTGCTCCATCTCCAGCGTCACCTAAGGAAGGCACGGATTCTCCCACACCATCGTCGAGCTCGCCTCAACTTCGAGCCAAGACTCTTTGCATAAGCCTATTGGTTCAGAGATCGACGTTGCTTTTCCTCTAGCTGACCAAGCTCCTATACCCGCAATAGTGCTTCGCAGTAGGGGTGGGCAAACGGTTCGGTAAACCCGAACTGAACCGAACCCGAATTAAACCGAACCGAAATCGAATTAATGCTATTCGGTTCGGAATTCGGAAGGAAAATATGGATAGTTCGGAAATCAGGGTTTTTTCAACCGAACCGAATTTCCCAATTTCCGACCGAAAAACCAAAATACTACAATTGCAAGCTCCAAATGGTGGATTTTTATGTTTGTAGTTGTTTTTAGACTTAAATATTTGAAATGTTTTATGACTTATGTGTTGAAAAGTTTGGTTTTATCATTGATGATGCATATAATTGATATTTATTGTTTATATTAGGGGTGAAAAATAATTTAAAAGTGAGAAAATACAAGTAGCTTCCCACATTCGGTTTTGTGTGAAAAACCAAACTGAACTATAATTTGGTTTAAACCGACCGAACCGAATTATAATTCGGCTCGAATTCGGTTTGATGTTTGGGAGAATTCGGGGACCCAATATTCATAATTTCGGTTCGGTCGAAACCGAACTGACCGAATGCCCACCCCTACTTCGCAGGAGTGATCGAGCTCGGTTTTGGCCCAAGCATCTGGAGTTGTATGATACATTGACTTCAATTCGCAGTATAGCGACTCTTGGCTATCAGGGAAGTACTTCCATTTATGTTCGCTATCCTTTAGCCTCTTATGTTAGTTATGATAATTTTACGTCCTCATTTTGTGCTTTCCTTGCTGCAGTCAAAAACAATAACGAGCCCACGTCATTTCAGCAGGCCATGCATGACCCTCGATGGCGAGACGTCATGACTCGTGAGGTCATTGCCATAGAATGGAACTTGGACTCTTGTCGAGCTCCCTTCCGAGAAACACACCATAGGGACGAAATGGGTCTTCAAAATTCAGTTCCTCCTTGACAGAACAATTGAGAGATACAAAGCTCTTCTTGTAGCCGAGGGCTACAGGTAGATCGAAGGACTAGATTTCCATGACACGTTTGCTCCGGTCGCGAAGTTAGTAATAGTCTGGTGTTTGATTGTAGTTGCAGTCAGTCGTGGATGACATCTTCACCAGTTGAATGTCAACAATGTGTTTCAGCATGGAGATCTTGATGAGGAAGTGTGCATGGAGATTCCCCAAGATTTTTGTGCACTGGGAGATTCCAGAGTATGTCGGTTGCACAAGTCAATCTATGGTCTGCGACAGGCTTCTCGTAACCGGTACCAAATATTTATAGTTGCTTTGTGTGAGTATGGCTTTTGCGCTTCACCTGTAGACTATTCCTTTTTTATTTTTCAATGGGGGAACACCTTCGTTGTGGCTCTCATTTATGTGGACGATGTGATACTGGCTAGAAATGACCTTCTCTTCATCACTGGAGTCAAGCAGTTCCTGAATAACATATTCAGAATTAAGGACCTTGGCCCCTTGCGCTATTTCTTGGGGATTGAAGTAGCATGCACAACTGATGGGATAGCTCTCAACCAGAGAAAATATGTTTTAGACATATTGGAGGACGCTGGCGTGGAATGCTCTAGGCCGAGCTCATTCCCCATTGAACAAAAATATTATTAATAAATAAATAAACTTGGTGTGATTATTGTGGGTTTTGTGGGTTAACCGCCGTGGATAGTGGTTAACCACTAACCACAAAAATCAATATTTTGCTACCCATTATCCACAAATTGTGGGTATGGTTATCCACAAAGATTGTCGTTTGGTGCAGTTTGCGGATTACTGCAATCCGCAAACCAAACTTTCACCCTAGTAACTCACATCACAATTCATTTGGTGTTAATAATTTTCCGCTCCCTTGTATGTTTTCTTAAAATAGACAAAGAACCGACATATGAATAGATTATAATCCGACTGGACCATATCATACTTACTAAACCGACATAACGGTTTCACTTTATAACTTACCACAGTCCACACATACTAATTTTGAAAAATATAGCCAACCACAAAAATTCACCTTGCAATATCGACCCAAAAAGACGCTATCTTTGATATGTCCACGGAACTCTCTCACCCAACTACTAGCCAAGTGCCCAAGTCCATGGTCCAAAAGAGCGGAGAGCCAGAGACTTCCTCTTTGGTCGGCTCTGTCTCTCGTTCCCCTTGTTCGCTCTAAATTACGCCCAATTCCACAGTTCTTGGAATAATGGGTCCAATGTCCATCTTGGGACATGGGGCATCCATAAAACCTCCAAAGTTCACACCCGGACCCTTCCGTTATAGACGCGATTCGAAGCTACATTCCAGCTCTCCCAGAGTAGGATTTCCGATTTTACAGGAAACCCACACCAGCATTGCTGTAACTCTTCCTTTCAGGCAGTCTACTCTCAGGTAAAGCTCTTCTCTTTCCGTCGGTGTCGTTGAAGTTGCTTACTGAAGTAAGAAGGTATACAGTTACACTGTTTTTTCATTTCTTGGTTTGGCCAAAAGACTTAATCTTCAACTGATAGGAGTTGTAATTGCATACTTTGAACAAAAATGCTCCACCCATTCACTATGAGATTGACATTTTCCCCCCTATTGGAGGTTCCTCTGTGGGGGGTTTGAGAAATGCTCTACTGCTCATTTTAGTTTTGGTTGTTTACCGTTGATGCTGCATTTGTAATTTTTTGTTTTTCATTCGCATTGCCCTCCAGCGTTTTGGATATTGTTTCTTCGTCACTTGCATTTGCAGTTCTAGTTCAGGCACTGATATGCCTGGAATAATTCCATGTCATACAAGCAGGATTAGAAGTCTCCCCCTGGATGATGCTGGAAATTTTGAAGCTTACAAAGATCATGATGGTGAAAATGGGGCTACTAATGAGATACTTGAGAATCAGAGAAATGAATCTACCGATAGGGATCATTTATTTCTGCTGATATTAGTTGCTGCTCTTGCCGTGGCTGCGATTCTTACCATTGTATCAGCTGGTCTAAGAGAGCCCAGCGTTGGCTCCTTTTTTGGTGTTCAGTGTTTGTCTGAAAGTTCAAAAACTACACTAACTGATGTACCTGTGGGTTATAGTTTCAAGGCTTTTGGATATCGAATTATACTTCCGGAATATGCACCAGGGTATGCAACTGCTACTAACCTCTCATCTCTGTAAACAAATCATATATCGTCCTGTTGGCCTTAGTGGGTCTGAACTGCAGTGTTTGACATATCAAGTGAACTCAATGGCGTCATCTGTTATTTCACTGATATCTTTGCTGCTTGAAATTTGCTGATAATGTTTCAGGTGGCTTTACTTTTGGTTGCTCATGGCAGCTGGTTTTGGACTTTTCATCAGTGAAGAAGCTTTAAACATTTGGGTCTGTCCTTTGTGCTGCTATTTCTGTTCTGCTAGTATTTTGAGCATTTACTCTGACACTCTCAAGTCTCAACTTCAGTTGGCTAGGGTTGATGCACAGCTCTAGCTCCCAATCATGTTCCTGAATTCTTGTTTATGTCATTTAGGTCGGCATATCTTTGTCACGGATGCTGTCTTTGGATGGGACATGGCAGTCTTTTGCTGCATCCTTCTCCAAGAATGCTGCATACATAACGTCTACAGTTTTATGGGTATACTGGTTAGTAACTTAGTAATAACTTGACTACAGTTTTATATCAATCCATTACTTTCAGCTACTGTTGCAAATTTAGCTATGTGAGCCTAATCTCATGTAGATGTAGCTAAATATAAGGATCGAACAACATTGAGTGTTAGCTCTCTGAAACTAGTTGGTGAACAGTCTAAGAAATCTTGTAAGCTCTTAGTTAGGGATAATGCCCGACGCTGCTATCATTTCTTGGTATAAGTTGATGCAAAGCCTTAGCACTGATAATTCCTTCACCTTTTGGTTGTTGTTGTTCTGAACTTCAGGGGAGTATGTATCAGTGATATGGTACCTTTCTACCTAGGAAAGCTTTTTAATAACACCGGAGCGTCAAATGATATCCGTGCAAAGGTACAGTCCAGTTTGCTTGTGTTTAAGCTTTCTTTCACCAATGTAGCTGTTGTTCAGCCCAACTAATAAGATGATCTGTTTGTTTGAGGAATTACTAATCAAGTTCACTTCTGAATGAAAATTCAACAGATAGGCATTAGTGAAGAGAAGTTCCTGAGCATCACGGGCATTGTACAGAAGTATGGAAACCTTGCAGGCTTTGGTGAGTATATATACTTTCTAGCTCTATTGAAAAGTATCACAGACTTGGAATATTTCATAGGGATACTATTCAACATGTTCTGTTGTGATTTCGTAGTGGAACGATTTTCCCTGGGAGTGAGAAATCCAACAGCCTTCCTAGCTGGTTCACTGGTTAGTATTGTCCCTACAAAATAAATCACTTCGACAAGCAACTGCGAAGTCTTCTAGCTAAACTCGTTTCTTCCATGTTGGTCGATGTGTTGAGGTTCAGTGGGTTACTGTAATGTGCCATTCTAAGTGCAGGGTGTATCGCCCGAATGCTTCTTCGCTGGAGTTTGCTGTGGTGGTGTAGTCACACTTTCAGTGCAGGTAAATCATCTTATTTCACTAAAAAACCACTGGGACATCGGCGTGTTGCTCAGTGAGACTTCCATAGCAAGCACATTTTCTCAAAGTATCTTCTCTGGGTTGGAAGTTCTGCCTGCCTTCTGTCTGTAGTTGAAAATGCTAAATGCTGGATTTACTTCCTTTGGTTTTCCAATTTCAGCTGGGGATTGGATTCCTATTGAGGGAGCGTCCCATGTTTGCCCTGGCCACGGTAGCTACTGTAGTGGTAAGGCAAACCCTCCTTTTCTTTCATTTCTGGGCGGTTGTTTCTTCCCAGTTGGTGCATATTAATGTTCTGATTTCCAAACCGACACAGGGTATCTGGACCGTGTTCCCTTATGCCATGGCTGCTTCAACTGCTTTGTTCCTCTATTTACGACGTCGACATACCACATAGGTCTCCTTCAGTCTAGTCCCACAACTCAGGAAGGATGTTCATATAGAATTTGCTGGATGGTTTTCCAATGCTTGCTGATAACCATCGAGAACATTTTGCACATTCATCAGGAGAAAGGTAATGTACCATTTGCAGTAAAGAACCATAGTGTATGAAGTAGCTCATACTTTGTAATGTATCATTCATATTGTAAGCCGAAACTGCCCCATATCCTTGTAAACTTAAAAAGCCACTAACTTTTTCATGGCAATGATGATGTTGATTCTTGGTCCAACTACGAAATAAAATGATGCACCTCCTTCCTGTAGGGGGTTATAGTACTGGCAGTCTGAACAGCTTTATCATTTAGATGTGTGGACCACTTCAAACTTCAAAGTAATGATGGAAGAATCCAATGCTAAGTGATATCTACTTGCTGCAGCTTGTAGATGTTTGATTACCCTTATCAATTAGTGAAATTCATCAAGTATTGAGATAACTGAGCGTTGTCTGGATGAATATTTGGATGAGTTATTTGGTTTTAAATAACTCATAATTAATGAATTATTTGGACCTTGCACAAAAAAAAAAAGAAGAGTTATTTGGACTCAGATAACTCTTCTAGTAGTATTGAGATGCGTTATTTGGGTTGTGAGTTATTTACAAAATAACTCAAAACGAGTTATTTGAAACTGCTATCCTGTGTTATCTTAACCCAATTACCACTGAAATAACAATGAAAATCAAATATACAATTAATGAGTTATTTTACTCTACAAATACCACAGAGCACAATGACAATTAATCCATTCAAAAGACACTTGAGATTTGGGTGTGAAATGTTTTCTTTTTGGGGATGATTGATGATTTGTGTTTAAAAATGCTATGTATTCATTTCACAAACTCATATCATATGTGCTTTGTGTTTGTTAGGTAACATGCTTTTTGTGTAAGGATTAGAGAAGACATGCTCTTAATCTTGCCAGTTAGCTTAAGAAGTACAAAGAAAGATGCGTAGGACATGCTCCTGCTGAAATAACTTAATTATCTTTCCTTAATTTCTACTCTCTACCGAAGGCATCATGCCTTCTTTACAAAAACATCATACAGCAGAAGGCCAGATTAAGTTGAAGAATAAATTGAATACATAGGTTTCACTTTTTGTACCTTTCAGTTGAGAAACAGAATTACATCTTACAAGTCACAGGAAGCCAGATAAGCGAGTTGGATGCTGTAGGCTTCTTTCAGCTCAGCCAGTACTTGAGCAATAGTTGGTCTCTCTGATGCATCTCTGTCCACACACCTTACAGCAACCATGGATGCCTTTCTCATACTCTCCCCATCAAAAGTTCCCTTCAAATTATCATCCACTATCTCCAATGCTCCAGCTTGCAAGTATGGCTTGGCCTGAAATTTTGGGACGTAAGAAAATCACAACTTCATAGCAATTTCAAGCTTTTCAGTTGAAATGAAAGGAAAAAAGGAGCTTCTGGTTATCTAACCCATAAAACTAGATTGAAGGAATCTGGAGTCCCGGTATGGCACAATGGCTCTCGCCCGCAGATCAGTTCCAGAAGCACAACTCCAAAGCTGTAGACATCACTTTTCTCTGTGAGCTGTTGGGTGGAGTAGTACCTGGGGAGCAGGTTAAAAATAGAAGGTCTTTTAGCAAAAGGTTTCATTCATCAGGGGAAAACCAGCAACAGAGGGGGGAAAAGACTATGGCTTTACTCAGGATCAAGGTAGCCCGCAGTTCCCTTGACTACAGTAGTCACATGACTTGCATCAGACTGCACAAGTTGCTTGGAAAGACCAAAGTCACAAACCCTTGCATTCATGTCTTTGTCCAAAAGTATGTTGCTGCACTTCACATCACGGTGGATGATACGTGGATCACTGCCATTGTGCAGATACTCCAATCCTTTTGAGATACCGATTAGCAATCCAGATCAAGGAAAATAAAACTTCATTAGTTTCACTACTAGTTTTTTTTTTTTTTTTTATAGCTTTGATAGACAGATGGAATGGAACCAGACACACCTTTTGCAGCATCAACAGCAATTTTCAGCCTGCGAATCCAACTTAAGGAGACTTTCTGACTGTTTGATGACTTTGATCCTTCAGGCAGAGACAAGGACAATATATGAATCTATTGTGAAAAGGAAATGCTTTCTGTTCATCCAGTCATCCATTATTGCATTATACATACCATAAAGGTAGTCAGCTAGAGACCCCCCAGGTAGATACTCGTATACAAGGATCTGCTGCTTTGATTCATAACAGAATCCTTCTAGACACACTAGATTCTGATGGCGAATCCGTGACAGCAGATGGACCTGAAAAAACCCAAAACCTCCCCCAAGTTAGTTTGTTGGTATTCTTGCTTGATGACTGAACTCGAGTAGTCTATCTCTATTATAAGAAAACGGCATTGATTGATAATGATAGCACATACAATTTCGTTTTAGAACAATGCAAGCAAATGACATGTGGCCCGTTGATATCACTCCAGTCCTTAGGAGGAATGGTTTATCTTTTGCATTAACAAATCACTTGCATGCTTCATGGTGTACCGAAATACTATCATATTATCTGCCTGGTCAGGGGTGACAGCAAGTCTGCCGTTGCAATGGCTGAGAAACCTATATTCTATAGCAGAATTAAGCATATCAAAGATGAAGTTCCATGTGATGTTTGAGACTGAGTGAAGGATTGGTGTCACTGGATCATTGTTTACCGTAAGAAAAGAAAAACAAGTTTTAAGGATGAAAAGGGAATGGTCCTATGTCGCTTGAAGTGAAGTATATGAGCTCAAACAGTTTGACATTACCTCATTGATGAAAGACTCAGCTCCAAGTTGACTCCTGTCAAATCTGACTTTCACTGCTACCAGTTTCCCATCAACAAGCTTCCCATGGTACACTGAACCAAAGCTCCCCCGGCCGATGACTTGCTTAAAGTTGTTTGTTGCAGACTTGATTTCTTTGTATGAAAAGACTCTAGCTGAATTCCAGCTCTTCATGTGAATCATATCTATTCCATCTCCTGTTTTCAGCAAAGTTACATGTTTCTCAGTTCAACATTTCACATACAATTCTTCAATAGCAGAAGTAAGGGAGGTGGTGGGTAGATTTTCAGTTTCATTTCTAACGTACTCTGCTCAAATGGGACTTCTGTTCTATCTTTTCTTGTGTAGAAGAGTAGTGCTACGGAAATGACAAGGAGAGCAAGTAATGAGCCTCCAGCTGCACCTACTATGATCGCCAAATGGTTTCTGTTCTCAGGATTCTTCTTGGCAAAGATTGTGACTTGTGGAGTCTCGATGGAAGGATTCGAGGAAGCATCGTTGCAGGTCATAGCGGAGAAAGAAACACAAATATTTCCTGATGCCCTGGAAACACACATAAGTTGGCAACTTCAAAGAATCATTCATTGATGACTTTCACAAACATACATGGAAGAAATTCATTGATTTACTTGACTTCCAAGCTTTCTTTGTTGAGAGACTCTGGCAGTGTGCCTTGTAGCTTGTTGTTTTCTAGGTTCCTGAATAATGATACTCTATAAGAATATAGGTAATTCGTTCATGGCGTGTGTCCAAATTCGGAAGCTTTATAGCTGAAATTCATCATTTTGAATATAAATCATAGCTAGCTTACAGAAGGTGAAGGTTCTCCAGCTCTCCTAATCTGTCAGGCACCACTCCCTCTAAGCTGTTATTCTGCAGGTCCCTAAGGATTGAAACACCAGAATGCAACTTATCCCCACCATCTCAAAATCATAGAGATGCGAAGCACATAAATGTTCTAATATATAAATTGGATTCGGAAGAAGATTTCAACTTACAGAACTTGAAGGCCGACCAATTTCCCCAGTTCACCTCCAAAGGATGTCAGCTGATTGAAGCTGAGGTTCCTGAAAAGCAAAATCCCCAGTTTGAGGCTTGTAGGAAATGCACTCTCTTACGTATTTTTTGTAATAAGAACTTTTCATATCTGAGACAATGACGTAAAAGGACGATGCAGTTTACAGTGTCTCAAGCTGTTGGAGGCTTCCCAAGTTCTGTATCTCCCCAGCAAGTGAAGTGTTGTGTAAATCTCTGCCGTAGAAGATGGCACAAAATCAAAAGATAAAACAAAATGAAAAACTGGAAAGAGGCAAGATAAAATATAAATCCACTTGGAGGTTTCCAGAGATGTACAATGTCTTGAGATCCAGCAGGTCTCCAAAAGTAGGACTGATTGCCCTTAAATTGACATCTGAAAGCTCCCTAAGTATGAACACAGAAAAGGGTCACAAGGCATAGACATCGAGATGACAAATTAAGTAAGAGCCATGAAGGAATTTGAATAAGGGCAAAAGTTAGCAGATTTCAGTCAGAAGAACCCACAATGAAGTAACCAGGCTTCCTTCACATCCAACATGAACCCATTCCGACGGAGAGCAAGGATCATCCTCCCAACCCAGCTCCAATCCAGTCGCCTGCTGAATAACCTGAAGCGCTGAAACTGCAAGTGAACCCAAAAACAACCCCACAAGTCAAACATTGACAAAAAACAAGAATGTTGTTTGGACTTCCACACATAATAATGAAGAATAAACTGCGAGCTACAAGTGGCACCTGTTGTTGAGGAAGCTTCCAATGGAATGTCAACAATCTGGTAAACTTCAATCCCATTGATCTGTGGATAAAACCTGGTGCCTCTCAGAGTGAGATTCAGGTTATCGATTGCCTTGCGGGTCAAGTAGAGAGCATATGCTTCCCCCATCTGCACCGAATAGTCCAGTTCCACCATGTCTCCATTGACCACAACATCGAATGCTGGTGAGACTGGAAGTATGCCAGCAAAATAGAGGACAATGTAGTAGTCTGCTGGGACACCCAGTGGGAGGTTGTAAGTTAGGACATCGCTCCTCGCCAGAACTCTAGCAGTTTGAAGAACAGAAACTGGAGGGTCCTCTGCAACGGTGGAAGTGTTGAGGCCTAGGAAGACATTGAATCCGGAAGAGACATGGAAAGGGTTGTAGTTCTCATCAGCATCCCATATCCGGTCGTATGGATCCACCGGGTATCTGGAGACAAAATCTCATTCTACTTACGGATTCAAAACTAAACCATAGATGATAAATGGTTGTATACATATTACATAGTGGAATATGCTAACTGCATTTATTAATTTTCATCGTCGTCTAACACCATTTATCATCATAAATCAGGGTGATATATTTGGTTTTAATAAACATTTCTTCATAAAATTGTAGATCCAATAAATCACGATAAAATTCATTTATTGTGGGCGAAATTTTTCTAAATTTGGAGATGATACCAGTGTATTAACGAGCGAAATGAGTGATACGTACTTTTTTCTCGAAATCTATTGAAAATGGATATAATTTTAGATCACAAAAAATTCATTTCATTTTGAATTTGAGATATAATACTATAATCGATCAATATGGAGAAGTAGAATCAATACAAAATTGAATTCATGGATATTAAATAATTAAACACTTTTTCTTTTATACATAATTATTTTTGGAATTACCTGAGGGATCCATTGGTGTAGCCACTATTGATCCGATAAGCCTTCCGGAGCGACTTAAAGGGGAAATCTCCGACGCCACCCTGGTAAGCTCCCCGGGGAAGCGGCCGGACCTCGACGGACGAAATCACCGGATCTCCGGCGCCCGGGATCGGAAGCAAGCAGAAAGTAGCCGTCTCCTTGCCAACAGGCCAAACGAACTCCTCACTCCATGGATCACTAGCCGTGAGGTTCACAGACGAAGTGATCGCCGTACCCAGCGAAACAGAGAACGCAGGGGGCTTCCCCAGCCCGTCATAGTTCTTGTACACGAATTGAGCTCTGAGAAGAACCACCGAGGACGAGACATTGTTGGCCAGAGGCAGTCGGTAGCATTTCCTGCCGCCGGAATTGGGGAAGAAACGGAGCGGGACGCTGGACGAAGAAGTGCCCTCCAGGTATTCGACGGAAGTCGTGTTGCCCGTGGCTATGTAATCGCCGTCGGAGACCCATGGGATGGCTGAGGAGTCCACGAAATCGGCCGTCCCGCCGCAGGACAAGCTCAGGAAACCTGCATTTCGTTTAACACACTTCCGTTCTTGGTTATAAAATTTTGGATTGATTTTTGCCAAAGTTGCTCTTAATAACTCGAGTTGTTGGTACAGGTTCAATTATGAATCTTATATCATTTACTAACACGTCCCCTCAAACGAAAGCCAGTCAACTTATAAGGGCTTTTTGTTTGCACAAGTCTGAATCCACGATACCGTGTGCTTCACAAACGGGGTCATCGGGATTCAAACACAAGACCTTCCATCTATAACCAAACTCTGATCCCATGTTAAGGAAATCAGAATACGATGGAAACTATTGTGCATTATTATTGGAACCACATAGAGTTTATATAGAGTATTGACTTCTATAATAACTCTAATACTAATACGGAAATTATCTAACTTCTACGACTCTAATAAGAAATATAACTCTGACTAAGTACATAATAGTACTCGGAGTAGTCTGACACAATACTACTCGTACTACACAAAGATTTCGTTGTGCAGGAAGAATCAACAGAATCGAGGAAAGAAAGGAGCTTTCTTATTTACTATTTTCCCCCTTCAATTTGAGAAACTTACCATCCGGGTTGGAGAAGGCGAGAAAGGAGAGTCCAGAACAGAGGAAGAAGGAAACCCAGAAGCAGACGAGTGCCATAGAAAATGAAGCAGAGGAGGTTTGCAGGTAGAGCCAATTGCAGAGAGCAAAGGAAGGCAGGCAGGAAAAAAAGAAGTGAGGAGGACTTTTTTTTAATTTATTTGAAGTCAATTGAGACGAGGAAAATGACAAAGGAAGACTGCTGACTCAGTCAGTCGTCCAAAAATCAAACACTCCTTTCACTTTCTTCTTCTTCTTCTTGTCTGGTAAGACCAAGACCGATCGAGTTAGGAAGAAGGCGAGGGATGAAAAGCAGCTTTTGAGGGTACGATACAGTAGGAGTAGGGTTTGGTGGGTTAATGATGTGGAATGATGAAAGCAGCAGCAAGAGGGAGGGAGATTGGTGTTTGGAAATCATGAGGAGAGGGAGAAAGGAATGATGGCGGCGGTTGGGTGGGTGGCGTGAGGGAGGGGAGTAGGGAGAAAAGAAATGATGTTTGTTCATTCGTAATTGAGAAGATAGGACAGGACAGAGTTATATATCGTTGGCCCAACGGCATTATGCCTGGCGGGGGCTAAATGGAGGTTTGCTAATTGCTATGCTTATTGCTACTGCCTGTTGACGCAAAGGTGCAAGTAAACGAATAAGCGAAAATGTAAATTGTAAAGGAATAGGAGGGGTCTAAGATGATCTCGTAGATTATTATTGCTTTATGTATTGTGAAGACTTTTGTTACACCAAAATATTATTTCCTTCCTATCAATTTTTTATTTTTATTTTTATAATTTCCCTTGAAAATACTACATGGGTGAAGTTTGTGAGAGTTTTGTTTGAGGACTCAAGACTCTGCTATTAGTTGGAGATTGAAGAAGCAGCCCACTGTTTCTCGATCCTCAACTGAAGCCAAGTACCGTGCAATGGCGGATTTGGTATGTGAAGTACAGTGGTTGCATTATCTTTTTCAAGATTTGGGTATTAATTTGAATACGATACTATTTTGTGATAATCAATCTACTATGAGGTTAGCTAAGAATCTGGTTGCACATGAACGCGCACCAAACATATTGAAATTGATTGTCATATCATTCGTGATCGAATACTATTAGGTTTTATCAAAGTTTTGTTTGTTTCTAGTGGGGTTAATTGCACCGTTGGTCACTGAGATTACAAAAAACATTCATGTTTGGTCACTGGAAATATTTAAATCCATTTGTGGTGCCTAACTTTACAAAAACTGTTCACTTATGGTCACTCTCCGTTAGCTGCCGTCCAACGCCGTTAACAACATCCGTTAAGTGATGACGTGGCTGACGGATTCGCCTAATCAGCACTTTTTAACCCGAAAATAAGCTGACCCAACCCGCCATGTCATTTAAACCCGTCAACTCATCTAAAGCTAACCAACCCTCTAACCAAATCAGACCCGACCCACCAACTAAACTACCCACCCGCCACTAAACAAAACATAATTTCTAAAACCCTTCAGCACGTTCCCCTTCTCCATCCCGCGCCGCCTTCGAACAAATCTCATTTGCAAGATAATACCTAATCTCCACGAGTGGAAAAGGTTTGTGTTCAGGGAGTCCATTGCTTCATCCCTTCGAACAAATCTCATTTTGCAGGAGCAAGATAATACCTAATCTCCAAATGCAATTTCCGCACCAAAACCCTAACCCTAATTTGAAATGAACGAAAAGGACGAAAGCAAAATGTCACTGTGAACGGCAGCGATGGAGGAAGTGAAGGTGGAGGAGAGGAGGCGGGCGGAGAAGGCGAAGGTTTCGGTGACGATGAGGAGGGGGAGGAAGGCGTCATGTTGAGGGAGGTAAGCGGAGAGCTTGCGGAAGGAGGAGGAGGAGTTGGTGATTGGGGTGGTGTTGAGGAGGAGGGAGTCGGCGGTGGGGGATGTCCGGGCGGCGAGGATGTCGAGGAGGGTGGACTTTCCGGTGCTCGATGGGTCGACGACGGCGAGGATCTCGGCCGGGTAGGCGGTGAAGGTGACTTGGTTGAGTATGTTGGTGGTGGTGGTTATGATGGAAGAAGGGTTGAGGAAGGAGATGAATGACGTGGCGGCGGCGGCAGATGAGGTTTGTTTGGAGTAGGAGATTGAGGAGGCAGTGAGGGTGTAAGTGGGAGGTGGTGGTGGGATGGTTTCTTCTTCCATGGTTAGGTTTAGATGAGCTGGCGGGTTTAAATGACGTGGCGGGTCAGGTCAACCTATTTTTGGGTTAAAAAGTGCTGATTAGGCGAATCCGTTAGCCACGTCATCACTTAACGGACGTCGTTAACGGTGTTGGACGGCAGCTAACGGAGAGTGACCATAAGTGAACGATTTTTGTAAAGTTAGGTACCACAAATGAATTTAAATATTTCTAGTGACCAAACATGAACTTTTTTGTAATCTCAGTGACCAACGGTGCAATTAACCCGTTTCTAGTGACAACCAACTTGCTGATTTCTCCACAAAGTCCTTGTCAAGTGCTGTGTTTTCAGATTTGGTTTTCAACATGAATCGTTCGGATATTCACGCTCCAACTTGTGGGGAGCTGTCGGAGGACTCAAAAGTTAAAGAATAAGTAGTTTAGGTGTCATATTGTAATATTTGTTACTTTATGCATTGTATTTAATAATTGACAGTTAGTATATATATTTAATAAGACAGTGTATAATTTTTACCAATTAATCAATACAACAAGTAGACATTTTCTCTCCAAGATTCAACAAGTTTGAGAGAGAGACCCTACATTCATAGTTGAGTGGTGGCCTAAGTGGCCTGCAACTGTTGGTGCGTTGAGTGCGAGACGCCTTTCTTCTTCTTTCTTGATTACCAAGTCAATTGAATAAGTTCTGCAAATACATAACCCCACCGACCCTTCGGCCAAGAACAAGATAAAGTATAATGAGAATTTGATCGAAGTGTGTGTGGCAAAACTTGAATCTCGTTATTTCTCATACGATACAGGAAATGGGCTCTAGCTTGCCCGATTTTTGCTCAAGCACAAAAATCCTTATGTATTACTTCCCGTTACCCAAGCTAGCCCGCTGCTTAATTTTTTATTTTTTATAAGTAATCTGTATTGAAGATTAAGAAAGTTCAGGTACTACAATGCCATCTTTTGCTAAAAGAGGTATGAGGAAAATAGGGGCCTGGTTGAACCACACTTCAGTCTCATCTGGCCGACATCGGGTGTGAGCCATTAGGTGGGCACATTCATTCGCATTCCTCCCCCAGAATCTCCATTGTACATTTCCAGCTTCCTCCGCCAGTTCTCTAATCTCATCACAGATCCCCCCAATCTCCCATGTCGTTGAATCCCATCTATCCAGCTTCTGAACCACCAATTTATAGTCTGTTACCATAATCAAAGGCATAAAATCATGGCTTTTTGCCAATTTCAAACCCCACAAGAGAGCAAGGGCTTTTCCCTTCTCCGGTGGTCATTTTGTCCTTGTTCGATGCATCGCGCCATCTGAAAAGTCCCATCTCCGTTTCTAATCACCATCCCGAACCCCGTTCCCTCCTCCCCCAAAACTGCCGCATCTGTGTTCATCTTGAACAGCCCTTGAGGAGGAGGCTCCCAGACAGCCCGAATCGGCGGCAGCTTAGGTTTCGGGTCGGGGCCTTTCTGCAATTGCTGGTATTCCTCCAGGTAATTTTGTGCTCTCATCACTACCTCCCACTCCTCTAGCTTGTGATTGTTGAACAGATGGTTTTTTCTCTCTTTCTAGAGAAACCATAGGGTAATCAGAAACATAGAAAGCTCTTCCTCAGTCGTTCCTTCAATTAGATTACATAGCCATTCCTCACAATTCTTCCCTTCTCCCATTTCAAAATACTTCGCCAAATAACTTGGTCTCCATACTCTTCCCACCCAACTGCAGTCCCTAGTGATGTGTTCTTGCGTCTCCACTAATCCGCAGAAAGGGCATTCTTCATGTGCCTCTGGGATTCTTCTACTCAGATTTGCACCCGTAGGAAGAATATTACTGCCCCATCTCCACACAAACACTCGTACCTTAGGTGGTAGATTCAGCATCCAGAGATGTTTCCAATCAATGGGGACATAATGCTCTACCTGGTTTCTCAAGTATCGTCTCCTCCACTCTTTATAGCCCGATCGAACAGAATACTTCCCAGATTTCTCCTTACCCCAAATTCGAACATCTGATCTTGATCTAAAGGGGAGTGGTATTTGTTTGATCCTATCTCGATCCGCTGGTTGGAAATTTGCTTGCAAAAGATTGCTTTTCCAGGATTGAGTCTCATGATCAATCAATTTCGACACCCTTTCCATCATTCCCAAGTCATTCACCTGTGTTTGGACTTTGTAGTCATCAGCTGCTGAGATCCATCTATCCCACCAAATTCATACACTTTCCCCATCTCCTATCCTCCATCTCGTCCCCTCCCTAACCAGATTTTGAGCTTGCATTAAGCTTCTCCAGATATAACTTGGGCTTGTACCCATTCCAGCCTCTAGTATGTCGCTGTGAGGATAGTATTTTGCCTTAAATACACGAGCTACTAGGGTGTTAGGATTTTGTAACAGATTCCAAACCTGCCTTCCCAGTAGGGCTATATTGAAACCATGAAGGTTTCTAAAACCCATTCCACCCTCATATTTGGGTCGACACAGCTTTTCCCAGCTCATCCAGTGTATCCTTTTCTCCTCCCTTTTCTTTCCCCACCAAAAACTAGCAATCATACTCTGTATTTCCTGAATCACCCCCTGAGGGATTAAGAAAACTGACATAGCATAAAGTGTTTGAGCTTGGGCCACAGCCTTAATGAGTACTTCTTTAGCTGCATTAGATAGCAGTTTTCCTTTCCAGTGTTTGATATTGTTTCGAACTCTGTCAATAAGCTGAGAAAACACAGCTTTTTTTGCTCTTCCAATCACAATAGGTAGACCTAGGTACTTGTCATGGTACATGACAGTCTTCATACCTAGGATCCCAGCCATCTCTTGTCTGTCACTATCCAAAACATTTGTGCTGAAAGACAGTTCTGATTTGGCCAGACTGACTTGTTGCCCCGAGGCTTTCTCATAGTTGCTCAAAATATCCCTCACCATCTCACCCTCTTCCTTCTTATTATCAAAGAAAAAGATACCGTCATCTGCAAAGATGTAACACCCTACCCTGTACGTATTACCTAATCATATTGTTCATACAATTGCAGCGGAAATAATCTCGGGTGTTGCATTAATTATCAAAATTTATCCAAATAAAATTTCGACATGAATTACTCGCGTAATGGGCTAACAGTTCTTCCATCTAATCCTGCAAAATAATTCATCTAAATCCATGCATTCATAGACAAACATATACACTCACTGCCATATGCATTGGCTTTTCATAGCCATAGTCACCGTTTCATGTTACACAACTGCATACTATACTAATACATGCCATAATCGTCACAACTTACATAATTACACAAATATACACATATCATCAACTTTCCACACCTGTGGATATCTCACACTACATCAGAAGCTAGTATGCACATGAAAAACATTCTCAAAACATTTTTACAAAAGGGTGTGGATCACTGGCCAAAATCCCAAGTAGTCGTCCAAGCACAGAATAGTTGAAGACAATACCTCATCCTGGCTTCAACTCTAGCTCCTCTCCCACCTAACACTTATCTACTTACACATAGCATAAGCAGAGGAAAAGGATAAAAGAGGGTCAGCTCATAGCTGAGTGAGATAATCATAGCATCGTGAGTTCATAACAGAGCATACCCCTACCATACATCTAGCAAACAAGCCAAAGCACTAGGATCAGACCTCAGGCATCCGACATCCCAATAGGCAAAATACTCAACCACATTGACTTATACATATGCATCTTATCATGTTTTACTTATAGGCGCCTGGCTACTCCCATGCTAATTACTCTCCCGGGAAACATACCCCACATCCCGTCGGATGTAGTCATACATACCCCAACATCCCGTCGGATGTGGTCATACATACCCCACACCACTATGGGTGTAGTCATACCCCGACACCGCTCTGGGTGTGGTCATATCTCGTAAGAAATCTTCAGTCACCACCACAAGAGAGGTGTGACTATCATACATATCATAATAGAGTAATAGCATAGGGAGCCCTAATTACTATGTAGTTGACCATGAGATCAAAGTACTCTTACTTAATCTCCTTATACATGATCCATATCTCATCTTGCTTAATCATAATTCGTTCTTGCACATGTAATTGACCTGGCCACGATTGGCTCAACATAGGTAATTTAGGAGTCGTATAATTGCACTTCCTCGGGATGAACCCTCATGCAAGTCATCCTCCTTAAACATCATAATATCACCCTGGGAAGTTTATTTCCCCCACTTATGGATCCAAATACAACCATAATATCACATCATGTCAAAACACCTTATCGAACAACCAGGAAGTCATATCAACAGTTAAGCCACAAATGGCAACATGTATGCAATCATCAACATAAACAAGGTCCATATCGGCTAGGGCAAGTCAATAATATCATACAGCAATCCAGGGTTCAACATATAGCACAAAAGTTCATACACCCCTAATCATGTCATTCTAGTTCACCTAGATCAATTCTAAGCATCAATATAATTATCGTGATACGACAAACCCGGTATGCCGTGCTAATCCCTCACCAGTTCTGGTCGTTCAAACACCGATTTAAGCTTCCCGTACTAAAACCTCAATTTCAGGAACGAACCCCGAATTAAAATCCGAGACCGTCTTAATATCCCCTGCAGTATCCCCGTCCATATTAGTTCTAGGCTCCGGGTCAAATTCTTGATAAAAACACATCAAACCTTGGCCGGAGCTAAATTCAGCGGTTTGGACCCCAGCCTAAATAATAGCCGAAATTCAGGGATTAGAACTAGAGGATTGATTACCTCGTTGCAGGAAGCTCGTATATGAAATTTGGGCTCAATCCGACTTCCGGATACTCCGAAACCCTAATTTGGCTTATCGGGAATTCAAGAAATTCCTGAACCAAAAACTCGTTTTAAAGCTCTAAATCGATAAATCACAATGAATAGATGAATTAGGCTTTACTTACGGGATTTTTGTATCACTAGAACTCAAGAATTGAGCTTGGAAAAATTTTCCTCGTCGCTCCCCTGTACCTCCTCTGCTCGCTCTGTTTCTGTTT